CCGCAAGCGAACTATACCGCCGCTTGTCGGCGAAGTTAGTGCCAACTTTAGCAGATAGAGGGTGTCGCGTGGTCAGCGCAATCCCCACGGCCGTTAATTTCGGATTTCTAGACCGGAGCCGCTATTTCCTTGAAATAGCTCCTCAGTTATAACGAGGCTGAGTGGACCCCGTTCCAGACCCACTACTTCTCAGAAAAAATCTGATAGCGCCGGGAGTCGAACCTTTGGATCTGTAGCTAGGAATTCTAACCAGTTTACCACAGAGGGGGTCGCGAAAAGAATTCAGAAAATTTAAAATACTTACTTGACACCCTCCAATTAGACGCGACAGAAAACTCGGAAACGAACATTGCGTTAACATCTACTACGAAACATTGCAGCACTGCAGACATGCTGGTCACTGGCAGTACGAAGATGACGCAGTTACGTACTCATATGTACAGAATTTGGTTTAATTCTTGGCTTCTGTTGCTTCTTTTGTTGATGTGTGAAAGCAGTAGGAGAAAGTCAGAACTGCAATGAACAGGCACAGCTTTACGTTGTGGTGATTATACTGAGGATGAGCTAGGGAAAACAGCACGAATGGAGGAGAGTGAATTGAAATACAGTTTGCATTTTGAACTCCTAGGGTAAAAACGGACGCAGGAACCTAGGAAATAACTGCAGGAATAAAAATAAACAATAGTATCAATAATAATAATAATAATAATAATAATAATAATAATAATAATAATACCACCTGCCTCTGGCAGATATGCAAGGCCAGATAATGAGCCAAAGTTAAGTTTGAACGTTAACTGAATTCCAGTAACTGGAAGAATATTTATCAAGTATTGACTTTGAGCTAATTAAAGTTTATTTACTCCCTGTGATTTATACGATATGTTACAATATTAATCAAGGGCAATGAATGCTAAAAGTCAATTTAAATATGCACCTTAAGGCATTCTGAACAAACGTTAATGATCGCTTTTGCTAGTAGTGAACAGGTTTACAGCCGTGTGCTCTAGGGCCCAGGGAAGAACTTCAGAGATTTAACAAAAAATAAGATTAGTCTTCTGGGATGTGACGCCGTGTAGATATTGTGTTAACCGACTTTTCGGAGGAACATATCGCCGTCATCTTCAGGGTAGAAGAAAAATGAAGAAAATTTCTTAGTACCTTCTCACGCTGGTTCTTCGCTTGCGGATTTTGTTTTCTTTTTTCTTCTTCTACCCTGAAGATGGAGGCAATATGTTCCTCTGAAACGTCCGTTAACACAATATCTACACGGCGCTACATCCCAGAAGACTGCTCTTTTCATAGTCACCGCTGTGAAAACCTCAAATCTAACAAAAAAATAAGATACATTGCCGTTAAAAGGCAGAAACTCTTGTTTTGCTTAGAACCTCATAAACCGCAGAAGACCTAAGAATATTATTTTAAATTTCTACCCTATATTTGTTGATTTGGCTTGTAGGTTATTTAATAATGCTGCATTCATTGCTGAGGTTTTTATCGTGAAATACGGCAATGTGATGGTAATGCACGATGAAATGGAAAGGGATCCGGAAGGAAGCGCTCTTGGTCCGAATGTACAACTCCGCACTGCCGAGTCTGCCAAGACTTCACTGCAGTTTACAGAACCCGAATATTTATTACAGTGTTCGCAAGATATTGCCATTGGTTTCTGCCTTGAGCCAGATTAATCCAAGTTACATATTTATGTTCTCTTTCTTTAATATATACCTTGTATTTTAACATTATTTTCCATCTATATCTGCGTTTCCCAAATGGTCTGATTTCTTCAGCTTTGCCCCCTAAAATTCTGTACATATTTATCACTTGTTTATCACATCCCTCTTTGTTTAAATATCCTGTAATTCGGCAGAAAGGACTGAAAGTAACTCGAGATAACATCAGTCAGGGCTGTATCTCTAATATTCAGGTCACAAAATTAAGTCTGTTAAGAGGCGTTTTTAATCTCCTGACAATCTAAATATTTCTGTGCCGAAATACTGGAGATGAACACTCCTCGAGGTGTATTGTGAGAGTACTTCTCTGGTCGATTGTTATTACGAAATGTTTTAACGTTCTCTCGCCATCTGTTTACAATTATGCTATAGATTATATTAATGCTTTTACGCTTCCAATTTTGTGCCCTCGATTCTTAATGACATGTCGCAGATCGAGGGTCATTTTTTATTTGTGGGACAACGTCGTTTGATACAATTTTTTTCTTGAAAGAATTCTTCACATACAGAAAAGGGTTCAGTTCAGGTGTTCTAGACTTTACACAAGAGACTTGTCCCAGTCTGCCTTTTTGCTGTTCCTAAAGATGAAAGTTTCACTTAGAGGCACCAAATATCAGTCACTCAAGAAGGACGCTAGAAACAGCGCGGAAGGTAAGCAACTAAGGAAGACTCCGTAAAATGTTCCCGAAGTTCGGAATAAAGTTATTAGATACTCGACTGCAGTCCTGTAGAGGAACGACGGAATTCTGTTGAAACGCGAACAAGGTTTGTGAACTCTGATTCAGCAGAATAACTTGAATTTAGAATGCACACAGAACTTTTATACTGTGGAAGTTCATATTTAGATCTGGACCCAGAGGCTCTGTATCTTGTCTATCTGTTTTTGGGGCTCCTTCTCCTAATCCTACTCCTACTCCTACTCCTACTCCTCCGTTGTAATATCACCTATTCATTCCTCATTCTTCCAGTCTGTCGTTCATAACCCATTTACTTTTCGAGTCAATATATACCTTAATCAGAACCGAGATACTCTTGTCAATGACTAGACAGTTGACTGGCTGACCAGGATAAGCAGTAATTGATTCCCGGTGGTAGTGAAGATTTTTCCCTCTTCACTCTGCAAGCCACTGACCCTCCTAGCCAATGGGAGACAGAGGCTGTTCCCCGGCCGTAAAGCCGCCGGGACGTGACACTGACCAAACCTCCATCAAATGCCAAGGTTTATTTTAATTTTGTAGGATGAGACAGAGTCCACTTTGTACGTCGGCCACTAATTGGCCTGCTGTGCTGAGCATTTGGTAGAATGAGAATTGACAAGGGAAACCGAAGTACTCGGAGAAAACATGCTCCAGTGCCACTTTGTCAACCACAAATCCCATATGACTTGGCGGCCTCTGTTGGAAGCCTGAGCTATGGCACGGCCGGTTTCGAAAGGTTAGGAAAGGCTGGAACTGTCAGTAATCAATGTTAACATTCCTGAAGAATCTCCTGTTTCAGGACTTACAGCATTCATCACTCCAAATGAAGTAACAGTTTCCTCCAGAACGTCCGTACCTAATTCATGCTTTACACAGAAGCCTATACAATGGACATTACCAGTGATATAGCGGTACTGTTGAAGATACATCCTTAAATAATGTGACCCATAGACCCATTGTTAGGCAACGACTCAATAAACACATGCAGTGGTAACGAATACACAACAATAGAGGACATCCATTGCTAGGCAATGGAAGTGTTTTCTGCATGGTCCGAACCGAGGTTATATAACGAGAAGCCAACATTAACTGAGAGTTCAATTGGTGGAATAGTGTGGTCAGAAGTCGAGTGTATCCAGTCGAAGACAGTGATTTGTGAATTGTTGTAACCAGTTGTATCAAGGTCCAATAAATTCGATCATCAAACGCAAAACCCGTCTTATAAGACACGCAAACCGCTAACATGTGACACTTAATATTGACATATTTGATTTACTTCATAATGGATTAATAAATACCGTTGAAGTAATATCGAACTGAACTCGGTAATTCACTAATTGCATTTATTCTTCTGTCGCCAATTATAAATAAAATAGAATGAAATTAATTACATTGATTCATTAGTTAAGTAGTAAAATAGATGTAGATAAATACACGGTAAACTAATAAAAAAAAGAGACAGACAAGAATAGAGAGCAGAGACTAATTAAGTAGGGAGACGTAATTAATACCTGCATATGCGAAAGGTTGTAAGGGAAGAGAAAATAGACGGTAAATACATGTACATATATATAAATAGAAAATTAATGATATATTATATACTTTGAATCTTGAAATGGAAAATATTATCCCACATGATTGTCCCAGTTAGAGTTATGTAGGCTGACTTCGAAACCCCACACTACTTCTGTAGACCTAATGCTAATTCCCCCCCCCCCTGGCACTACAGCCCCAGTGGGCCTAGGCCTACCTCCATGAACTTCTCCGTTCACTTCGGTTTTTCTAGATCTTACACATTCGGTAGGACTCCTTGGGCGGGTGATCAGCTCGTCGCAAGGCCTCTACCTGTTCACAAACACAGAAAAACGCGCACACAAACTAAACATCCATGCCCTGAGTGGGATTCGAACTCACGATCCCAGTTTCCAAGCGAGCGAAGACAGTACATGCCTGAGACCGCTCAGCTACCGTGACCGGCCTAATGCTAATTCAGCGTATAAAAATATAGGACGAAAGATAACATTAATTAAACGGAATAGGCACCTTGAAAGAATGTTGTAATTTAACAAGTACAGTCATGTAAAATGGGGGATAATGTTTAACAACAGTGCAATGATAAAACGATTGGTTTTGTATCAATGACGCCCTAAAACAATTACTTAAAAAGCAGAAATAACATAACTGATCCATGGTATATGAAAGTTTGTAGCTGTTCAGCTGGGCATTATATTCAGGCATGTATAGAACCAGAGAATGTGTCTCGATCACCGTGGTCACAGAATCCTTATCCTAAGTCATTTGAATACTCTTCATAACTCAGTTCTCTTGAAACATAAACATCAAGAAAATAAAGAATATACATCTTCCCCTGATAGTATGGAGCTACTGTATGATGTAGTATGTCTGCTTCATCACGTTCAGTGTGAAGGCCTCTTTTTTGATATACCATTTGGGAGTTTGGCAAAAAAAAAAAAAGAGCAAGTTTCAGCAGTATAGTTGAAAAGGTACCCCCTAGAGTCCACATCGACACACGACTGATATATCCGCTGAACCTTATGTCATGTTGCAGCTTCGATTCTCGAGGGAAATCTTTCGACCAGGCGAAGCACTGGGCAGACGAACAAGTCCTCGGTGGAAGAGCATTCTTCCGGTACACGGATGATCCTGCCAAGTTGACGGTAGAAAGCGTCCGAGAAACCGACGGTGGAATGTACCGATGTCGGGTGGACTTCAAAAAATCACCAACAAGGAACACCAAAGTCAATCTCACAGTTCTGAGTAAGTACATATTAAAATATTACATTAATCATACAAATATTTCGGCATGAGACTTACGTTTGTCCTAAATATTCGGTTTTGTCTTTCTGTCCACATATTTTGGATTAGTTAAGATGGGAATTTGGCGTTTGCAGAGTGAAATATAACTCAAACGACAACGTCGTCTGAGTTAATAGTTGAAAACTTTATGTTCTTTAAATAATAAGGTTTTTTTTTTTTTTTTTTGCTTTTTTTATAACATAATATTCCAAAATTCATTCCCAATACATCGGTAATCAGGAACACGTCATGTTTTTGTGCTTATTTTTTTTAAATTAAATTGGAATTTTCTGTAAAATCACATTAACAGTGTATCAATACGCAGTAGTACATCAGACAGGAAGGAATTTATGAGCAGACTTTACCAGTTTAAATACAGCCGCACCAAATGCAAACATAAAATTATGTAATGTATTCGAGTAATATTATTCTAGTTGTGTTTATTTGGTCGTTCTGTCACAATTATATTATAAGCTTCACAATTATATATATATATATAATTCTGTATTCAGAATAAAATTATAACCTTCAGATGTCGGTTGAAAATTGTCGATCGTCAGAAGTTTTAGTCTGATTCATCCAAACGATTGCGCTGTTTCATTTCTCGTTCTTAATTGGCCTCATAATACGAATTAAAAACTTGCAATATTCTCTAAATGAGCTTGAAAGGATATAATAATACTAATTCGTTTCGGTTCTTTATCTAGTCTTTTAAATTTTTTTAATTCGCTTAGTGGGGGGTGGAGTCCGAGTGGATCCACTCGGCACGGCGGCCACTGATTGGCCTATTGTAGCCTGCCCCGGGTGATTATGATGATGGAGAATTTTATGGATTGAAGATTGGCAGGGGAAACCGAAGTAGTCGGATAAAACCCGCCCCAGCGCCACTTTGTCCACCACAAATCCCACTTGACCAGACTCGGGATCGAACCCGGGCCGCCGCGGTGAGAAGCCAGCTACTAACCGCTTGAGCTATGGCGCGGTCCTTCTTAATTTATTTACTGCTGAGGTTAGCAGCTAGTGGACAGTTACAGCATCAGCACGATTACGAACAACAGCAATGAGACAAACACAAGGATAAAACAAACAAAACATATTGTTATATTTTACACCCATCTCTAGGCAACGTGTTGTTAAAAAGTTCCCGCGAAGACAGATTTGGGTAAACATTCCATTTGTAGGTTACGTAACAATAGATGAGGCTGTTTTTTTTATGCGGTCTGCACCAAGTAACGGTAGAATAACGGGGTTAAGTAATCCGTTTCTAAGCAACGGCTGAGTAAACACATTTCCTCGTATCGGACCGTGCTATGAAAGCGGTGACATCATCGACAATAGAGACGGTGTTTTCTTTGGGGTCTTCTCGGCGTGCTTGCAAGAGAAGGGAGCAACATAATTTGTTTAGGGCAGTTACGATTCAGTCGTAAGCTGGAGGAATGCGTTCAGAAGAATTTTTAGTTCCGAGGTTCCAGATTGACTGAAGACGAAATAGCAAGAAGATTTCATAGTGATTTGAAGTTGAGATCCGTTGCTAGGAGACGACTAATGGAAATTGAGAATCCTAGTGCGTGTACAACGACAAACTGTAAACTGTGTAAATCAGCGATAGCGCTGTATTTAAGTGCAATTAAGAGGACTTATAACCAAGGTGCTAATAAATTCGTACATCCGAACTAGAACCCGTTACTTTCGTCACGCATAGCCCCTACACTTGACAATATTGTTTATTATTATTATTATTATTATTGTTATTATTATTATTATTTCAGTTTTTTATTATGTGTGTGCCGAGTCAACAGCCGCAAGACCAATTACAGAGTTCGCAGATTTTTTTTTCTCTAAATCATTTCAAATTTTCCAACAAATATTGCAGCTAACGTAACTTATGATTGAACTGCGGTTTTTTTAACGACACTTCGCTCTGTATATTGTACAGCAAATGCTAAGGAAGACTGTGAATGGTGAAGATGTGGAAGGAAACGAACGTAGCTTAGGCCCCCTGTCAGATAACTACTGAAACCTTGATCAGTTTCAGTTTGAATAGTATCCTTGCCAAGATTAGAGGCCGGGACCTTCCGAGTCCGAAGCAAGAGTGATGCTTCAGGAGGCATGCGTAGGGGCATGTGGCTGTCAGGATGTCCCCGTTCAGAGGCTGTGTCCGTCGTCTACTTTGTGCATCAGCGAAGGCAGTGTTCACGGCCTGTGAAACTGACCCGCAATCCCTTTGCTGAATAACAGGTCGTTTATTGACGAGAGCACTCGCCTGAAATTCAGCTGTCTGCGCTCAGAATTCAGTCAATATAACGGCCATTAAAGGCGTTCGCACGATATGGCTATTCTGTGCTTGCGGGTTCAATCTGAAGCGGCAGTGATGACCATGAACATATATTGTCTTTGATACTTAATTTAATATATTACTGGAATTGTAATCTGTATGATACAAGTAACCTTACAGTATAAATTGCATGCTTTCTATTAGTTGCTGTAATTGAACAGTGATGCCGTATCAACTTCTGAATTTATAAAGCATCGATTTAGATGTGTTGGTGCAATTTCAGTGACGAGTAAGGGGTCTCTTCTTGCTTGAAGAATTTTCTGATGGGAAACCTTTGTTTCTGTTTTGACAAAGTTTATATCTTTCATTCGCCGATCAGAATGATATATGACGTAACCCAACTAGATACGCCCTACACAATGCTACGTGGTCTGACAATAAAGTTCGCGAAATCATCGCTGTAGAAGTGCTACATACATACCTCATTGCTGAATATCACTGTGGGCGCACACCAAAACACACTCAGATAATAATAGACGCCACTCAGAAAGAGACTGCCATAGATCAACAACAACACAACTATGAAACGCTGATATGCCAACGTCATCAAATCATACTGAGGTTTCTGTTCACTGCTGCCACGGCAAGTAGTCGGTGGCGAGTTCGCGAACTTTATTGTCATGTGTCGTATTGAGTGTGATTAAATAACTTGTAACCGAAGTGCCAATAAATCCAATCATCAGAACTAGAACCCGTTACTTTCGTCATGCGTACCACCTCTACACGTACCAATATGCATATATATTTAACGTTGGTTGCTTATTCAGGTATTCATCTCATTATCTAAACATATATTGGGCCTACGGTTTGCTTTAAAGTTAATCCTCAGCTATAATTAGTTAGGAAGGAAAATAAGGACACAAAATTTTGAAGACTGAAGATTGTGATCGTTATACCAGAACATCACTGAAAACTCAAATCTTAAAGTATAAGTGAAATCTTTTGTAACCAGTATTATGTCTAAATTGCTATGGCATGGGAGCAGTGTCATTCATGAGAACCAAATAGCCACTCGTCTAGAAAAACAATTTGGCAGGTCTTATGTGTCAGATATTTCGTGTAAATGTAGGATCGTATGAATGAAGCTTTAGAGGAAAATAATATTTGTGTCATTGTAAGTAGAGTCCAGAAACCAGTCCTAACCGCTAACTGCATAAAGTAATGTCCGTTTTATGAAATCGTATAAAGTGAAATATACAAGATTTCAATTTATATATTTTATTCATAAGTGTGTTCATATGCTTATTTTAAAAGACATAATTTAAAACGTTATATTAAAGGGATTTTTTTTATTATTTGCACTCCCAAAGAAATGAAAGAGGTATTTATGGGAATTCCTTCTGTATACGATGAAATTTGAGATTTTTTTATGTTGGCATGAATACTTAACAGAATGATTCAACCAGACATTCTACTACTGCTGCTTGCTTTGATCTTTTCACCGAAGAATTGCATTTCCTTCCCCCCCGAGGATATCGGTTATCTTTGTAACTCTAAACCGAGAGCGAGCAGTCCTGGCGGATTATCCGTACCACAGAACTGAGAGCTTGCTCAGATGGCAATAGGAATCCTCAGGGCTTCATATAGGAACCTCTTCGGCATGAGCTGCTCCACACAATGAAACCGCTTCGTAAGGTGATAGTTATACGAGCGAACCGCGCTGATTAATACAACAATATTGAGAAATTCTATCAAATGATTTTATTGCAGGAAACGATAACAGGGGAACCCTTGTCATTAGAACCATAACTATCCTTTCTTTTCAAATTCATAGATTGAAATTATTTATATCTGACGTAGGTCATGGCATGATTCAGTCATCTACTAATTACTCTTCATATAATTAGAGACCTAGACGTGGACATGGGCGCTGGAAGTGGGCATAAGTACCAATCGGTTACGCCCGAATTTTAAAAAGACATTGAGTTTCTTCAAACTACATGGCTTTACAGCGAAAAAGAAAATGCTCTTCAAGCACTATGTAATTTTACATTATTTCGGGCAAGAACAGTTGCGAGGCTTGGGAGTAATTTAAACTTAAGTGTAACGTTCAAATGCATCTTACAGAAGTAAGGCGTGAAGGTGCGGATTGTATTCAACTGGCTGAGGATCGGATCCAGTGGTGCGGTTTTGAACACAGAGTTACATATGTACCTTCGTGGTTTACCTCAATGACTGTCAGTGACTGAAAGATGTTAAAAGTAAAAAAAAAAAAAAAAAAAAAAAAAAAAAGGAAAGTAAACTACCCCTGTAAGAGGCCGTGAAGGCCCATAGGGTTGTGAGATGCTGAGGCTCCCATATTTTTTAGACAGTCGACTCATATGTGACGGTAAGTTTGTCAGCCTTACGCGCCGGCCGCCCTTTACTCCCAAGAATATTCCTGGTCTTCATTTCTGTTAGAGGCTGAGTCGACCCCAGGGCCATAGTGCGGCTGGAAGGATTAGGTTAATTGAAGAAGGAAGATTGTTTTACTTTTTTATTATTATTGCTCTACAGCCCTTTGTTGAGACCCCTTGGACTGCGGATCAGCCCGTCGCAAGGCCTCTACCTACACATAGAACAACACAAACACAGAATAAACGTACACAGACATCCATGCCTCGAGTAGGATTCGAACCCACGATAC